CCCACACACACACTAACCTCTGGTCCAGCAAGTCCCTGTTATGACGGGCCACAGAGTTGAGTGACGTCATGAGGTAAGAGTTGGCGCCGTTCAGAGGCTGGGCCGGTGTGGAGCTCAGTTCTTGTAAGTTGTCTGTGCGGGTTTGCGAAGAGAAACAAACAAAAGTTGTTTTTTAGTTTTAGTAGGGTTATACGGCACTTGCAAAACTATATGGTCATAGAAGTGACGAAGAAAAAAAAAAATGGTATGGGTTTAATGCCTCTATCAACACTATTAGGTTATTTAAGAGGCGGGACCCCCGAGTTTAACATCCATCTCGGAAAGGACAGCCGAAAAATACAGGAGTTACAAGGGAGTACAAACACAAAAAAGAAGGAGGGGAGATCAAGATGATACATGTTTGATAGGAAAGAAGGAGTAGCAAACCACACCAGAGCACCCACCAACCACCCACAAACAAAAGTTGTCTACACGGGTTTGGAAAACAAACAAACAAACAAAAGTTGTTTTTATTTAGTTGTTTAAGTAAGGTTTTTACGGCGCTCGCAACTGCATAAGGTCGTATGAGCACCAAGGGGTGGATGTCAACAGAGAAGTTCAAACGGGGTGGGGGGAGGGGTAGGGTCTGCTAATTTGTTAATTTAAAAAGCGATCTGTGATGGAGTAAATATACAATGGAAGGCTAAAGTTATTTTTACCACCTTATTAAGGAGCGGTGGCTTATTGGCTTCCAATGTTTAGAACGATCTTGTAGATTGTTACATTTGTAGAAACATGAACAGTTATTTATAGCAACAACTACCCAGGTTCAGGTGATGGTTCAGAGAAGGTTTTTGAACCGTGAAGCTACACATGAGCTATACTGTAACGTGTGACATCAATGTGATGGTTCAGAGAAGGTTTTTGAACCGTGAAGCTACATGAGCTATACTGTAATGTGTGGTCTCGTGGTGAAATCAGGCGCCCCTCAAACGAATGAAATCCAAGAAATCAAAAGCCTACAAAATGTCAGTTTGCCGTTTCTAGGAATGCTCAAGCTTTGGAGGTCACCAAACTTTGGCGCCATGACCTTGTTAGTTTCACATGTGACACCAGC